GGAAGGCTTACTCTTCAAAGGCACCTGATCCCATCTTTGGAATTTCCAGGGGTCCGTATTTTATGCCCTGTTCATATGTTTTTAGTTCTATCAAAGTTCATTATCTTCACATTTTTCATTAAAAGTTTTTATAACTTAATTTTGATAAATATATTTCTTTAGAAAATTATTGCATAGTGGAAAAAGTGTACATGTATTTAGATTTGATGCCCCTATATGTCATCTCTGAATGACAAGTGATTAGATCATTTGACACAAAAATTTGTAAAATTGCAAATTTATTAAAGAGGAACATGGTATATATGTATCTGCAATAGCAATCCCCTGAGTTGAATTTTATTTTCATTTTAAATTTGCATAAATTTAATATTTCATTTTTAACAAGTAATGATACATATTTTTGCTAAACTTGTACATTTATTGAAACCATTGTAAAATGCTAACAAGATATTGTCAAAAATGTTTTTCATGCCTCAATATTTTTTAAGTTTAATTATGTTTTATTCCTACAATTAGATTGTCCTATATCTGTCGCCAAATTCTGTCTCAACATAGTTTCACAGTTGATAAACTAAGTTTATCGACTGTAAACTATAGTTTACATCTGTAAAACTATATTTAACACTTTGTTAACTATAGTTTACATCTGTAAAACTATATTTAGCAGTTTGATATGTTTACGAATCCAATCTAAGTTTATCTGTCTGTAATTAAACGTTTACAGTAGATTTTGTTGATAAACTTAGACTTCACCTCTGTAAAAATATGTTTTACAATCGTTAACTATAGTTAAACTTGTAAACCATAGTTTATAAATTGTGAAACTGTATGATATTATGTTTTGCAATCGCAAATGATTGTTTTCAGTGTGAAGTATAATTTACGGTTGTGAAACATAGACTGTTAACTATTTTACAGATGTAAAATTAGTTTTTTAACTATAGTTTACAGTCCGTAAACATAGTTTACAAACACATCTAATTTTCGACTTTGAATTATGTTTTGCTCATTTTTGTGAATTTGGCGTGCCATACAAGTACATTAAGATAGATCGCAGGTAACCGAAGCCATTGCCTTATTAGAATTCGAAGCAATTGTTAGATGACGTTGTTTTCAGAGGTGAACAACCTTTGTCGCAAATTGTAGGATGTTACTCGAGGAGTCGCTGTTTTTCATCAAATAACTATCAACTGTCATTTTCAGTGTACGCGAAAATTCTCATCAACGACAATTTATTATTAAATTTTGGGGTTACGAGATACCAACTGTTTATATAATCATTTTATAACAATTTGAGTTTCTCAGAAGACTAAAAAACATTATTGTTATAAAGATTGAAAGAAAACAAAGGTCGATAATCTATAAACTCTGTGAAAATTATTTTGGTCTACTTATTTGTTTAAGTGGAGGAAAAATTGAGATAGCGAACCGTAATAAGGCTCAAAAGTACATCCAACAACAGTCCAGTCAGGATCAGAGCAAACACGGGCCTCTTATACATCAGAGGTTGGATACGGTGCCATGGAGGAGTGAGCATCCCCTGCCCACCGGTTACACCTGCCATGTGCTCTGTCATGTTTCGGGAAAAGGGAAAACTCCTTACACAATTCGGTGAGTAAGTAGTGACCTAACAACTAGTAATAAAACATCACTTTGATCCCTGAATGAAATGTTCTTAAGTCGTAGGGAACTACGAGATCATGCTTACAAGCGCTTGTTTTCCGGTTATTTGCTATGTAGTTTAAATGCATCAAATAGGCTAGTATTAAAACGCTGACGTACATTCTTATCACCAAAAATTGTCTTCATGTGCTATATGGTCAGGACCGTGGGATTTCCTTCTTTTGAGTTGCTAACAAGCAGAGATATTTCTTCGGGAGTGATGGGGCCACCATAAATCTCCCAGTACTTCTTTGCACATTCTCCTTCTTGCCTACATCACGTCAGGCACTACTAGGTATCAATGATTTCCTAGGTGCAGAATTCACAGTTAGTGCAAAATTTTGTGCATGCTGATTATCATTTTTGTTACATGCGGCAACAACAGTTAGCATAAATACATTGAAAATTTATGTCCTTTAGCTTTTTGCTAGCAATTTATTTCATGCCAGTGTTATACGGACATGTTCGTTTGACCTTTTTTCTGTTTCTATCCTACTGGATTAGTCCATTTGTCTTCTAAAAGGGGTGACACAATCATTTCGCGCCGAAATTTTTTTTTCAGCCTTTTGGCTAGCTGGAATTATGTTATTGTTTGATGATCCTGACGTGGTTTCCACGAGTGAACAACCTTTGTAGCCAATTGTAGGATGTCACTCGATGAGGGGTTGTTTGTTTTCCAATGGCTGTCAACTGTCATTTTCAGTGCTAGCGAAAATCCTAATCGAAGACGATTTATTATTTAATTGGGAGACTGGCTGGTGTCAACTGTTTATAATCATTTGGAAACATTAGGATTTTCTCTGAAGACTTGTACTTCATTATGAAGATTGAAGGAAGAGGAACGGCCATAATCTACACACTGTGTTGAAATCACTTTGGTCAATCTTCTAGAAGTGGATCTATAAATGGCGCTAGGGAAATGAACTTCTAACGATTAGCTAACACTTCATTCATGAAATGATCTTGACCCAACGTTAGTTGTTTAAATCAATGGGTGAAATTTAAGGTGGAAGTTTTTGATCTACTAAATAAAAATCAAGTTTCAGAGCAACGTTTGTCAAAATGGAGAGGTCCGTTACGATGGTCACAAAAACAAAAAGTTCTGAGAACAACAGATTGTTTGAACCCCCACGAGTGAACCCTTTGTAGCCAATTGTAAAAATGACTTAATTGTTTTACAAAGCTAATTGTAATTAAAAATTAAATCGAAGACGATTTATTATTTAATTGGGGGACAGTGGTGTCAATGTTTATAATCATTTGGACTGATTCTCTGAATATTTACTTATTATGAAGATTGAAGGAAGAGGAACCCATAATCTACACACTGTCTCACTTTAATCTATACAGAAGTGGATCTATCAATGGCGCAAGGGAAATGAACTTCTAATGATTAGCTAACACATTCATTAAATGATTTGACCCAACGTTATAATCAATGGGTAAAATTTAAGGTGGTGTCATCTACTAAAATAATAGTCAAGTTCAGAGCAATGTTTGTCAAAGTGGAGCGGACGACAGTCACAAAAACAACTGAAAACGTGTGTGCTAATACATTCCAAATTAAATTGTGGAAACTATTTACTGTTCGGTATTTCTTATCCGAAAGTCTCCTATACTACTGAATTAATGTGACGTAGAGAACCACAGAATGTGCATCGTCTATTTAACTATACAGACATACAGACGGATGGGAACCCTCTATACAAACGTGGGTATAATGATATGCTTAGTATGTATGTAGGTTAAACTGAAAGCATGTGTGCAGTACATCTTTTACTTCATTGACTGTAAGACTTCTAGACACTTCTATATAAAATCGATGTTAAGTCAATCTTTGTCACATACAAATTAAGATTGATCAAGGGTAGATGCAATGAATTGCTAAGTCAGCTAAATACACAGCAGTATCGCAGCTTCTCTTCTCTTACCCACAATTAATTTAAAGAGATTTTCAACATGATACTTGTATACTGGTTTTTGAAAAAGGTCGAACATTTTACTGCATTCCGTTTGATTAAAATTATTTTTATATAACCCCCCATTTTTTTCTCCTTGCAAACAAAGTTTTTGAGGAATGAATCATCTTATCCGTCTCCCTGTCCGTCCGACAGTCCCAGTGCAATGTTGTCCGACCTAAAACACTTGAAGCTTATGCTTGATGCAGAGCTCGAGGTTGCGTATGATCCGACGGCGTGTCATGACCTTGACCTTGTCAACAAAGCAAGTTCAATATCACTGGCAAATAAGTAATATTTTTTTGATCGGGTCATAACTTTGTAATAAAGAATCACTGGAGGCCCAGACTTAGTGCAGAAATTGCTTATGACCCAAAGGTGAATTAATTACTTGACTAAAGGTCATTCCGACAAGTCAAAGGTCACCTGCAGAAAAATGAAAAAAAATGTCCACACTTAGACTTTAACTTGGAATAGAAAATCTCTGGAAGTTCATAGTTAGAGGAAAAATAAATTATGATCCATGAATGTGTCTAAAATTTGATTAAAAGTAATTCCTTCAAGTTCAAGGTCACTAAAAGAAAAGTGTGAAATCTTGTCTGGGACATGACTATATATGTAATGGTGAATCGCGGAGGCTCATTTCGGTACAGATATTGTGTATGATCTTGAGGTGTTTCGTGATCTTAAGACAGGACTTTTTCAGGAATTAAGGGTCACTGATATAAAAACTAATTTTTTCACAATAAAATCTTACTTTATTTACAATAAACTTGATTTGACTATTAATTATTTTATAACAAAAAGAGGGTAGCCAATCAGCATTTTTGTGAACATTTTCGAAAATATTTTTTTTAAGGAAAGTGCCCCCCTCTCTCATTGATACGAAGAACGTGACACTGATACAGATAAATGTAATTGCATAAAAATTGCTGTATATAGTGGAGCCACAGGCACTTGTTTCTGTGATAAATTTTTAAACCATAGTATAATTATACCATGGGTTAAAAATTTATTACCGAAACAAGTACCTGTGAGTGGAGCTTATGTTTTTATTATTATTATCGATGATTTGTAAAATCATTATTTAGGCCTACCTGACACTGAAAGTGTAAAGAGTGCGTTTCTGAGGAGGGGTACTAATTTTTATTCGGATTTAGATACATTGTGTTATTATTATACTACATGGGTTAAAAAAATTAATTCCAAAACTATTTAATGTCTGGGCTACATTACCCTCGTTGATTTACTACTACTATAAACTATATAAGCAATTCTGAAATCCTCAAGAACGAAATTACGAATGTCCCCAGCAATCCACCATAGTTAATATTTCGGAACTGTGTAGTCCTCATGTTTCCTTTTACAATCTACAACAACCGGAAGTCATACTGTTTTGCACAAGTATTGGAGCACGTGTGGACAGTTTCAAGCAAAATATCTATGGTTTCAAGACTGTCATATGGGTGTAACAAAGCAGTACCTACGTTATGTACCTGGGCCAGTCCTGGGACTTATTGGCGGACAGAAATCAAATGTCGTTTTCTTGGACATAAAAGGCGTGAAGGGGAAGTACTGTGCAGTCGGGGCTTGTGAAAATGTTTTGGTTTGGGATCTCAGAACAGGAGAAAAGGTATCAAGCTAAAAAAAGACACAGTAAAGGCCTATATTTTTTTTTTCAAAGAAAGAACAAAAAGTGTCTGGTTACAGAGATTACTGTCCTTTATTTATAGAAATAGAGAATTTTTCGTTTGATATAAGAATTTTTCAGTTTTGATTCAATTTTTCTTGCATGTTTGACATATCTTAATTAGTTTGGTCTGTTGTTAGCTCACCTGTGCCGAGGGCTCAAGTGAGCTTTTCTGATCTCATTTTGTCCATCTGTCTGTCCGTCCATCTGTTAACTCTTCACATTTTTGACTTCTCAAGATCCACAAGGCCAATTTTAACCGAATTTGGTACAAAGCATCCTTAGGTGAAAGGAGTTTATTTTTTTTTAATGATGGGCCAATACCCCTCACATGGGGAGATAATCAAGAAAAGACAAAAATAGGGTGGGGTCATTAAAAAATCTTCTTCTCAACAACCATTGGGCCAGAAATGATGTTATGTGGTAATTAAGGTCTTCCGTTTCCAACGGAAGACCTTCTACTGATTCTGTTGGTAAAGATTATTATTCTTTTTTTTCTTCTGCTTCCTAGACCGCAACTTTGTGGCCTCATATCTCACTCATTTCTCAACGGATTTCGCTCAAATTTTCAGAGGTTATAGACGTTTATAAACTCTATCAGAATGCTGACTAAAATTTCAAAACGTCACTTCCGGTATTGAGTTATTTCCCTTTAAACGAAAATTTATAGGCTTTCGTTTCCAAAAAGGCTCAGAGACGGAAGCTGGAGAGAAATTCTACTGATTTTAGATAAAAAAGGATTGAAGTTGTGCACATCGGTTTTTGTTTTTCGATTTCTCTATTCAATATGGCGCTATATAAGGGTAAAAAATTAGAACGCTTAAAAGAACCAAAAATTACTCATATTTTGCTTTTTATCTTCTAAACTAAAAATATTTTGTTAAAATATATAGAACATAATTTGTGCAGAATAAGAAGATCTTTCAAATGATATGTTGAAAAAAGGGCTGACCCCTAAATTAAGGGATCTAGAGGGGCCAAAAGTTTTTTCCAGATATCTCAAAAAGTATTGAGAATTTGTTATACATCAAAGAAGCAAAGTTGTTGAAAATGTCAAGCTTAATCTAATGGAGTCGTCAAAATGTTTTATCGCTTCCGGCCAAACCGGAAGTAGTCGGAAAACGAGTATTTTGCCGTTTTTGACAAGTTTTTGGGTAACATATGTCTCTGGGAGCTTAAAAATAAATTTTCCTTGCGTCGTGGTCACTTCCGGTCAAACCGGAAGTAGCAAAAAATGGCTTATTTTTGCATTAATTAACATAGCTTTAGAGGATTCAAAGCATTTTTTGGCGTTATTTCTCATTTTTGTTAAAAATGAAAGCTACTTCCGGACAAACAGGACGGAAGACCTACTCGTTGCTTTGCAACGAGCTTTGCTCTAGTGTAGATTCATAATTATAGATAGTTTTCGACTGACCTAAATTTAGCAAAAGTTACCTCCCATTGGCAGCCATATAGGAGGTCCACATGCTCATATTGCTTCATTATTCAACCAATTTTAAATTTTCATAATTGCGATTTTGAATTAGGAATCATTATTTTTCTGAAGTATATAAATTTTTAGAAGCCTCCTTTAATTTAAAAAAAATATTTAATAAAGATTTTTCACCAAATATTTCAGCTATATTTTCTTAAACTTGGTAAGACAAAGAGGAAAACTCACCGAGTCGATCTCCAATATGGCGACCAACGGGAGGTAACTTTTGCTATATTTAGGTCCATCGAAAACTATCTATTGATCAAATCATGACCCACAGGGGTTGGGGCGGGGCCACAATAGGGAATCAAAGTTTTATATAGAAAAAATAGGAAAGAACTTTAAAAATCTCAAGAACCACAGGGCCAGAAAAGCTGAAACTTATGTAGAAGCACCCTGGGGTAGTGTATATTCTAAATTGTTCAATTGAATTCATGGCCCCAGGGGGTTGGGTGGGGCCATAATAGGAAATCCAAGGTTTACATAGAAATACATAGGAAAAACTTTTTAAAACTTCTTCTTAAGAACCACTGGGCCAGAAAACTGAAACTTATGTGGAAGCATCCTGGGGTAGTGTAGATTCTAAATTGTCAAAATTTTGACCCCCTGGGTAGGAGGGGCTGTAGGGCTAGGCCACAATAGGTACCTATTACAAGGTGGAAATCTGATAAAGAATGACATCACTGAAGTTACTCAGGTGAGCGATGTGGCCCATGGGCCTTTTGGTTTATTGTTAAATTAATAATTAAAATGATTAATGTCCTACGGAGCCAGTTTCCTATTAAGTCATACAACTTGTTTCAGTATTATCTCTTTTTTATCAGCATGTATAAAAATTTACATCATTATGCAGTGATATCTAATGATGAAAAAAAAAATCACTTATCGTGATGTGTCTCCTTTGAACAGCACAGACATAATTCGGGCTTAAATATAAATTCAGAATTTTTTAAAATAAAATTGTTTATTACAGATAGGTGATTTACTTATAGAGAAATGAAATCATTTCACTTAGGAATCTTGACATTATGAATAATTATTTTAATTATGTTTTCCAGCATATAGAACTACAAGGAGAGAAGAGTGAGGTGACACAGATTGCAAGGTCACCAGACAAGAGGCATGTTGCCATTGGATACAGTGATGGTATGGTCAAGGTCTTTGACCTTCACACAGGAGAGGTCAAGGTCAACTTCAGTGGCCACAAGTCTGCTGTCACAGCTTTAAATTATGACCATCAAGGACTTCGACTTGTTTCTGGTGCAAAGGTATTTACAATGAAAATTTTTTTCGATTCAGTTGTTTTACTGGTTGTGAATGACTGAAATCCAATAACTGCATTCTTTTAGATATAAATTAAAATAATTTTTGATGTCTGAATGGAGAATAAATTTGATTCATTTTAGAGTCGAGATATTTTGCATATTTTCACAGCAAAAAAGTGTGAATTTTCAATATTTGTATTAAAATATACCTACAGATGTTAAATTAAAATTTTGAGAGTTTTAATAGACTTGCATTTTTGATTAGAAATAATAATTAAGAATATTTTTGTAGGACACAGATGTGATTGTTTGGGACATTGTTAATGAATCAGGTTTATTCAGGCTGAAAGGTCACAAAGGGCAGATAACTCAGGTCCAATTCCTAAAGGAAAAAAATGTCATAGTTTCAAGGTATGTAAATTATTATACCTCGCACTTGAGACAAGTGAGGATATATAGTGGGGGGGGGGGGGTGTCAGTCTGTATGTCCATTATAGTTGGGGGAAGCCATTCAATATCCAAATCTTGTCTTTACACCACTGAATGCTATTTAATGAAACTTTTACAAAATCTTTATTGCCTGGCAAAGCATTGTGCACTATCTCTTCATATTTTGATTGGAGAAATATATTGGGTTTCCAATAGAAAAACATGCAAAGTGTAACAAGCAAACGAGTAGAATTTATCAGCTTATAGGTCTGGGATAGAATACTAGTATATATAGTGAGCTTGCCCCATTCACATTATTGCTAAAACGAACTTGTAAAAGGCAAGGGGGGGGTTTACATTTTTGGCAGGGCTGACAACTTTCATTTCACAAGCAATCAGCCCTGCATGTTTAGTTTATTTTACAGTGAGTTAAAAATACTGATATCTATACTGTTATGTAAACCATTAAGCTTCTACAGTTTTGAAATGCTTCCTTTAGTTCCAAAGACACCTTTATCAAGTTCTGGGATTTGGACACACAGCACTGTTTCAAGACACTAGTGGGACATAGAAGTGAGGTAACTAACACAATCCAGTTTGTTAAATTTATAAAAGGATAGTATCAATAAATTATTTTACAGCAGAAGTTAAAATTTCCAATTTTTCTGCATGATTAGAGACAGCAAATGCAATATATTTTCATTGACATATACTAAAGTTGCTTGTGGCAATTTCGGAAGTTTTAGTTGTTTCTAAGGTGATAATATTTGAAATTTATAACACTTTGTGGTTAAAGGAATAAAATCTTTTTTTTTTTTGATTACAGGTATATGACTTTGTGATTGTAAGGAATGGTCGGCGATTGATCACAGGTTCAGCTGACAGTGAATTACGTGTGTGGGATATTGAATACCTAGACAGTTTGGTGAGTGAATAGTGTGGCTCTAGATAGGGGTCTCCATTAACTAGCCATAAAAAATATTAAAAAATGAATTTGTAAAATATATCAAACTTTTCTTGTTAATCTAAAAGACTAAATGCCACACAAATATGATAGAAATTGAAATGGCAGATGCTTTTCAGTAAATTGATTGTGCTGAGATGTCATCTATTTAATATATTAGTGTTGTGTATCAGTATGGAGACCAAGAAAAAAAAACTGTGAAGTAAGTAGTTTCACTAGTTTGTCTATTTTATGTATAAGTAATAAGAGCACCTGATATTGTAGACCTTGGAAGAGGATGAGGAGCCAGCATTGAAGAGGATTAAGATTGAGGAAGAGGAGGAGGACAAGAACATGGAGGAAGAAGAGGAAGATCTGGTAACAACACTAAAATTAGAGGGAACCATTCAATTAATAACCGTGTCATTTTTTCCTGTTTCTTTATCAGTTTCTTTCTCAATTCAAATGAAAACATTAAGTTACATTTTACTCTCCAGATAAAAAGTCCAAAAGGAAAATTTAAGCTACATGTACTCTGATAAAAAACTTTGGTATTTCTCCTGCTTGAAGTTTGAAATGGATCCAGACTGTTCTGGGAAACATAATTTTGACACATCTGTGTTATGTTTGATATACAGATTTTGACATTGTAAAAGGATACACATTACCCTTGAAAAAAGTTTTATATGAAGTCAGATACTGTTATTTTTAGCACATACTGAAGTGTACAAAGGTCGGCTCTGTGATGAGGCAGGGCAGAGACCGTCTGGTGTCCATGACAACAGATGCCACTGGTTCTGTTCTCTCTTGTCATGTAAGTTTTACATGTGTTTATCATTTACCCTTAGAGAGGTCATTATTGGTTTAAAGTGTATATTTGTTTCAGTTTGTATTCTTTTTAAAAAGTATCTAATAAATACATGTCTTATGTTTAGGGAAACAATAAATTCCTGGAAGTATTCAAATTGCCTTCTCAAATGGATCTAAAGAAGCACTTGGGTAAAAGACAGAAAAAGCTGAGAAGGAAAGCAAGGTTATTACTAACAGAATCACTGATTATGATTAATACATTCAAATCTCAGACAAACACATGTATATATAGAGGTGGTCAGACTTGTTGTGGTTTGTTTACAGAGATACAGGGACAGAGGAAGTAATGGAGGCAGTACTAACCGTCAAAGATGAAATCGTCCAATATGGCTTCCACAAAATGGTAGCCAATATTGCTTTTCATTAGTTTGTCCGTAGTTTTGTATGTTGTTTTGGAGAATCCTCTTTTCTTCTATGGTCATCTCAGTCTCTTAAGGTGTCATTACGACATAAAACTAAGGTAAAGATTTTTTGTGTGTTGTGTTTACATGTTAATTGAAAAATTAACCAAATGCCTTAAAACTTTTATTTTTAAAAGACAATTATGATTTTTGTTAAATAGAGTTTTAATCATTGATTTTTAGCTGATTTCATTTTATTTTCTCAAAAGAATGTTTATGTTTTACAATATGGCAGCCAATATTGAATTTCTCTGATTGTTTATTTTTAAAAGAAAGCAATCATTGATTTTTACTATTTTTTTTTTTCTCCAAAGAATGTTTATGCTTTACAATATAGAATTTCTTTGAACTGAAAACAAACAACTATTTTCTGTCTTTTCTTCAAACAAGACATTTATATTCAATATCAACATTATTTTTGCAAATGAACTTCAGAATTAATATTTTACATTTATGCCAACAGGTCTTAGTTCTACTGAATAACAATATGTTACAACACTGCAGCCTGGGGCTGGACCAGAAGCAATCTGACCCCCAGGGAATGGCCAAACTAGCCCTCCCTGGACACCGGACGGATGTCAGGACGCTGTGTTTCAGCTCAGACAATACTGCCATACTGTCAGCCAGTGCTGAAACAGTCAAAATCTGGAACAGGTAAAAGTCTCTTAACTAGACAGTGAAATTTTCCATATTGAACCTTGTATAGTATACACTAAATTTTCAGTTTCATTATGTTTCATGGTATAAATTTATCAAACTATTTAATGTCAGTTTGTGTTAGGCTTGATAACACTGTGTTTTAAAGCAGCTGTGTATATTCACTTGTACGTGAGCTACATTTGTATACTTGTGATTTCAGGGCCTCGTCCCAGTGTATAAGAACTATGAATTGTGACTATGCCTTATGTTCAGTATTTGCCCCTGGTGATCGACACATCATTATTGGTACCAAGGTTTGTTATTGGGTTTTTTTACATATACATTACATATAAATTAGAGAGGGCATTTCACTTTCAGTAGCATGTAAATATTTCCTGAAAAAATAAAAATCTTGAAAATTATAGAGACAGTGTCAGAAAAATATGTGTATGTTTTTGAACAAAAAAATGCTAAATTATGTCCATTCCAATCATAAGCATTTCATGTTCCAGATGTTAAGGATGCAGAAGAAGCACAAGATTTAAGTTATTTTAGCACAGTTCTAGTTTTCTAGCAATACTAATAATGCATTTCAAGAATCTTATTTTAATCTGTATTCATTTTATTGCTTTTTTGTAGAGTGGTAAGTTACAGATCTTTGATGTTGGAAGTGGGGGGCTCCTAGAGGAGAAAGAGGCCCATACAGGGGCAGTGTGGTCACTCTGTATGTCTCCAGATAGGGTAAATATTGTAACGTTATTGTGAATTTAATTCTGTGTCTTAACATGTGTACAAATACAATTCATGATTCAGCTTCACATAATTATGCAAAGACAGTAATTAAAATTAAAGTACAGAGTAACATTTAACACTAAATGTGTACACATAATGTGAAGACTTTGTTTTGCTACTTTCTGTCAATAGAGGGGGATAGCCACTGGAAGTGCTGACAAGAGTGTTAATTTCTGGAACTTTGAGTTGATCACTGATGAGAAGTTTTCCCTCACAAGGTATGATACTGTAGATCAGTTAATTTCTGTAACAACTTATTTTTGCTAGATAGTCAATTACTGGTTATTAGTGAGACAAATTTTCCACGAAATCTGGTCAGCCCTATAAAAGGAATACTTTATATATAGGCTAGAATCAAATTTTCATGAGCACACTGTTTGGCATGATTGCACAAAAATCAAGTTCTCACGCATTGTGATTTACAGTAAATTAATCTGAGAAATTCGGGGGTTTTTTGGTAGTGTAAATCATGGGTAATTTGGGCATTTTAACTTATGGGAATTTTTTTTTCTTATTTGTGCAGTAAGAGACTTACACTTGAGTTGGAGAAAACATTGAAGATGGATGAAGATGTTCTGTGTGTCAAATACAGGTATGTTTTAGAAAACTCTTTCATTTGTCATTTAACATTTATCTGAACGGTCTTTAATTATTTTCATGAAGTATTTTTATGAAAATTATTTAAAATAAAGAGGTAATATGATTTAAAAAACACTATGAATGTTGGAGAAATATGTAAGTCGTTTTTGATTTGACAGCCCAGATCATCGCCTGATAGCGGTCTCTCTGCTGGACAACACGATAAAAGTCTTCTTCGCTGACACTCTGAAGGTATGTCTGTGTGTGATTTTTACAAGAATAAAACAGAACATGTTAAACAATATACAATCAATCAATCAGAACATCTTTAAATGCATGATACAGTGAAACATCATCTATTATTAACATGTATGAACTATCAGGATAAAACTTTTGAAGTATCCTGGTATTAGACATATTAAAGTGGAAATACATCATGAGAAAGTAGTTTATATTTTCAAGTCATTTTGCACTGTATTTATAGTATTCAAATTATCATTGTTCAAAATGTAGAAGTTTGAAAATAGTTACTGTGAAATCACAAATTTTCGTGGGTGGTTAATTTTCGTTGTTTTCGTGGTATAAAGAGACCCACGAATTTATGTCCACCACGAAATGTAAAATGTTACATACATAACTACTCAATAATTCTTCATCCATGAAATCAAATCCCCATGAATCAATGATTTTTACTCCAACCATGAAAATTTGACCCCACAAAAATATATGTGATTTTACAGTATGTAAATTTTTTGGTTGTTTCTGTATCTTTCCTTCTGGTTTCTAAGCAGTTAATTTTTCCTTTATATCAGTTTTTCCTGTCACTGTATGGACATAAACTCCCCGTTACCTGTATGGATATTTCACACGATAGTACACTCCTGGTATCTGGGTCAGCTGACCGTAACATCAAGATCTGGGGGCTCGATTTCGGAGACTGCCACAAATCACTTTTCGCTCATGATGATAGGTAAACATCTCGAATTTAAAAGTGCATTGCTTGAAATATGAAGGATGAAATCTGATTGGTAAGGATAATACTTTAAGGTCTACAATTTAATATGTATGAATTCATCTGACTTGATAACTGTGAAATTTCTTTTATTTATTCAGCGTTATGTGTGCCCAGTTTATATCTAAAACTCACCTCATCTTTACTGGTGGAAAGGATGGGAAAATTAAACAGTGGGATGTAGACAACTTTGAACACATTGTTACCCTTCAGGTACATATACCTTACAATGATTTATAAAAATTAAAGAACAAGAAAAGTTATTTCAAATCTTCAGTGAGAAAAAAAACAAAAAAAAATGAGAAAGACCTTAGCACCCATAGTAATTTATAATGTAGTTAATTTGTACTTATGTGTGTATTTGTAGGGACACCATGCGGAGGTGTGGTGTATGACGGTCAGTTCCTCCGGGAACTTTCTCGTCACAGCGTCACACGACAAATCCGTCAGACTGTGGGAGAAGACAAGGGAGATAGTGGTACTGGAGGAAGAGAGAGAAATGGTACTGAATCTAACATACTCAGGACTTTATTATTAAAATGCTCTTTACTAGTCACCTTTAATAATGTACCTTACTTATAGTAATCAATAATGATTTATACCCTTTGGATTGATTTTATATTTATTCAATGGTTATTTATGATGCAGGTATTACTCTCCTGTATCTTGATTCCATAATGATAGTTTTTACTCTTTAAAACATTATTTTGATCCAAGAGTTCCTCTTTGTTGATTCAGTAATGGTAGTTTTAATGATGAGATTTCAGATTATTCTCAAACATTGTATATTGTGACTTAAGGAAAGAGAGAAAGAGGATGAAGAAGCCATAGGGGGAGAAACAGTGGTCCCAGGAGAAACCAACACAGAAGTCACACTGGCAATGCGGCTACCTCAAAAACGCATAGAAACAGTTTCAAAGGAGTTAGTAAACTTTAATAGTGCAAAGTAAAAGAATCATTTATTGCTTTTGGATACCGTATATTTGGATGGAAATTTTAAGTGTATTTGATTTCAAATTTAACTTTGAATTGTCCTTAAAAACTGGTAATTTATTTTTAGCGAGATGTTATTTTAGCGATTTTAAAATGCATATTAAGGAAGCTATTACAAATAAAACGCAATTAATTTTTAGTGATATTCAATTTTAGCGATCTCGGCACCCTCGCTAATGATGCCAAATTAAATCCTCGCTAAAAATTCTACTTATACGGTATGTTAAATACAAAATGCACAGGACACATCCAGCTTTTGCCCTTTCTCAGATAGAAAGGTAAAGAAATAATTTTTTTCATTAAATGTTTCTTGGTTTTGTTTTTTTTTTTAAATATATAGAAGTAATCTTCATGATGACCAATATCTCAAAGACTCTAAAATTACTAATTTTCATGGGGTTTAATTTTCATATATTTGAGGTATTGAGAGACCCATGAATTCATGACCACCTCGAAATGTAAAATTTCAAATGCATTACTACTTGACATGCAATCAAATCCCCACAAACCATTATTTTTATCTCGGATCTAAAGAATTTGACCCCATGAAAATGTGTGATTTTACAGTATTGATATGTCAAAGTCATTTGGCAGTCCCAACCCCGTTACCTTGATATCTCCAACTCTCAAATACCTCAAAATTTAAACTTGTTCATGTTCTGTATCAGATTACAAGGTTTACCTTTATTTAATTCAGAAAAATACAAGCATTTTTATTTCTGGTTGACAGGCTGAGAGAATAATGGAAGCATTGGACCTTTATAAGGAGGAATCAGCCAAACTGAGGGACCATAAAGAGCAGTGTAAGAGGAAGGGAAAACAGGTAACCACTAGATATCACCATCAAATTCTACATGTAAATTATGATTTCTAAAGAAAATATTTTTTTTTGAAGCAGTTTGTTTACACCTGTATTTTCGTCTTTAGTTACCTCCCCCTCAACTGAATCCACTGTTAATGGCGTACAAGTGTGACACACCAGAGAGGTATATGTTGGAGATGCTGCGAAAAATTAAGTCAAGGTAATTTGAATCATAAAATACATCCACTTGTATTTATTTAAGGACATTACATTAATAATAATTAACTTGAAAATGAAACATAAAATACATGATGAAATACACCATTTGAGGATGTTACATATAAACAATTTAAGTAAAGACATCATTAAATCTTTTCAGTGCGAAGTTTTTACATCTTTTATAGTATCCTTACAGAAAATAACAATCCGTATGTAACAATCCGTGATCTTTTCACAGTGAGCTGGAGGAATCCCTTCTAGTCCTGCCTTTCTCCTATGTTGTGGACTTGCTGAAGGTCCTGGAGCTATTTATAGACTCGGGATGGGAAGTGGAACTCTCCTGTCGCTGTTTGTTCTTCCTTCTACGCGTTCATCACGGCCAGATCACCTCCAATCTTGTACTTCTTCCCGTTATTGATAGACTCAGACAGAAGACGCGAGATCGAGTGAGTGAGCTCAGGGACACAATTGGGTTCAATAAGGCGGGGTGTGAATTCATTCAGAGACAGATTGAATTGTCACAAGACACAATCTTCTTCAGTGATGCCACAGGGAAGTTTAAAGAGAAGAAGAAAAAGAAAAGAGCCATTTTAGCTGTGAAAGTGTAATGCCATAGATACCATATTAAAATAAATAAGTTAATCTGCAAGAGTTTTTTTGCACTTAATCAAAGAAATGATAGTACGTGAAGACAGAGGAATGACCATTTCACAAATGCTCTTGTCCTTAAAATGTTATTAACATTGCTTTCAAATTTAAAACTTTTTCGTCTATTACTGATTATGAATTTCAAGCTTCTGTAATATTAGTAACATATCAAGAGATCCTATTGGTTGTCAACAACAAATTTGAGAAATACCGTATAAGTGGAAATTTTAGCAAGATGCAAATTTAGCGATTTCTTCTTAAAAACTGGTATTTCATTCATAGCGAGAAGTAATTTTAGCGATTTTAAATGCTCACTATAGAAACTAGTACATATAACACGCAATTTATTGTTAGCAATATTCAATTTTAGCGATCTCAAAAGCCTCGCTAATAATGCCAAAATTAAATACTTGCTAAAATTTCTACTTATATGGTAGTCACTTTTATTTCAATTTACTTAATAGAAATGATACTTTTTACACTTGCAGTTACAAAGCAACTAATCATAATACATGTATATCCAAACCACAATTCTCATACACGTAAAATAACAGTTTATTACATAACAATAAAATTTTACAGTTATCAGCTTCAGTTTGTAATGCATCCCCTCCTCATCTTCGCTAGCCAAGGGTTTCTAATACGCTACTCTCCTCATACACCCTTGGCCTACGGTGTTCATAGAAATCGGGATTTTTTTCTTTTTGGATTTCAGTACACCCAGGTCGACCAATCAGCAATTGTTTTTTGTAAATGACGATATTTGCGTTGATATGAATTTCACTCTTTAATCTCGGAAATGAAAAACGCAAGTAAACAACGATCCGTAAGATAAAATTCAATTCTATGAATAGCCATGGTGTCATCCAATATCTTCTAAATATGTGATTAAGAATCTATATTGAAGCTTCAGATTTGTTCTATAAATAATGAATAAACATAACTCAATTACTGCTTCTTAATTATTCTTGAAAAAACTTCGATTTAATTTTTTTTAACACGTGTCTTTATTTCTGGCGATGACGCAATCTGTGCGTACCTGATAAAATAACAGTTCACGTGACATAACAATTCCGTCTTTTGACTTCACCGTATGCCAAGGGTTAATGAGGAGAGGAGCGTATCAGAAACCCTTGGCTAGCGAAGATGCCCCTGCTTTGAGTTGGTACTTCATAGATAGCCACAGGTTTCCAACAACTTGATCCACAAGTTGGACTTGATCATGTTGAATCTGATTGGTTTGTACATTTACTTGTTGACCATATGCCATATTCGCTATGCAATAGGTATAGTTGAGTATTCCAATTGTTATTTTTCATAGATTAGTCAAACACACAAGATTACTTGAAATTTCTACACAGGAATGTGAAGAAATCCGTTAAATAAGATGTTTCTCACATACATTTATACTTTTAAGTTTACCCCCATCTGCTAGAGGCTTATCGGTTTTTGTCATCAACTTATTTAGTTTTGTAGGTACTTGATTCGTTTTACCTTCCCAGAGCTTTTTTCAGCAACAAAAAGATTATCATTGCTGTCAACAGCTAACCCCATTGGTCTGTTGCAGATGAAAAAGTGACTGAGAAATTGTCCATTTTTATTAATGATATGAATGCAGTCGTTATTAGTATCTGCCACAAGTATTTGAGCCTGACTGTCCATGGCTATTCCAGAGGGACTAAATGGTTTATTCTCTCGAGCACTGCTATGTCCAGTGTATCGAAATCTTAAGCATCCGGCATTATTTGTGACCACTACAACACTGGCATCACGATCTGCAACACAAATATCTCTGTTTTTATTTTCTCTTATATATTTGCTTGAAATGCCTAATGAAAACAAGGGTTTTCCTTCATCGTCAAACTGAATTGATTGTTTCTCCTTTGAATTGGCAAAACGGACGACTTTAGATTGTGTTTTACTGGCATTAACCATCATTACCAAAAGCTCATCACATACTGTGGTACAGACATTCAAAATGACCCAATCATTTATGTTGATCTTCAGATCCATTTTATTTCTTGTGATTTTTAATATTTTGGAAGATCTATTACAGTAAATCAGTTCTCCAGTTCTGGTCACAGTAATGTCTTTGTATCCAATTTCCGTGCACACTTCTTTTACAACTGCTGATCCCAGTACTCCAAAGCTAAGACGAATTATATGAGAGGGCATACCAACTTTGAAGAGTTTTAAAGCACTGTCAAAGCCAGACGTCCATATTTCCTCATCATTCAGACAAGTTATACTTCCCTGATCCTGAAGTCCTGTGTCTAAAATGTACGTAACCTGCGGTTCAAGAAGCAGCTCTTTTTGTACCGTGTTGTCCTCGTCTTCCACGTTGATCTGATATCCATGCTCCTGACTTGTGATGGAAAACCCATTTATCGTACCGAACATCTCTGAAATCTGCTCATTCGTAATCGTCTTGGGTGAAAACTGCGGAACTGAGACATTAACTTTCGGTGGTAGAGCCTTCAGTGCAGAATTTTGGCTCGAGTATGATAACGATTTAGAAACATCTAAAGACTTAAGAATGTCTTTATTTGATCTTAATGATTCTTCAATTTTTGAGAGGAGTTGATTAAACATTTTCAGTTGTTCTTTCAGAGCCTCGAGCTGCTGTTTTCTCATTTTTTCAGTTTCCTCTCTGTTTGTTCTAACAATAAGATTAATTTTTTGATGCCATTTTTCACCTTGTTCCTCTATGCCTTTTATTGTTGCATTGTATTTTTCATCAACTTCAGCGATTTCAGATTCTAGTTGCTTGACTATGTCTTTGTAGGAAGGGTTAATGACGTCTTCCAACTCATTAATGTCATTTTTGATGACTTCTTTTATTCTGCTAGAGATCTGAGTAATTTTTGGAAATTTGTGTCGCTCGTGCAAATCAGATGCAATACACGAGGAACATACGGGCATCTCGCAGTCTTCACAATAGTTCTCGCATCGATCTTGAGGATGGATGTTGCATTTAGGTAAAATGGGCACATTTTTTCTTTCTTGATACTTGACAATTTTGTGTTTTTGAGGCTCGTCAGACAGGTGATTCCCGACACATGCCTTGCATAGGTTAAAGGGACAGGATGTACAATACATTTCCACCACATTAACATCGCAGATTTCACATCGCTGGACATCTTGAGCGCTATGCTGAGGATCCATTCTGGAAATTAAGACAAATTTTAGTAAACTGGGTAACCGTTTTGAACAGTTTAAACATACATGTGATAGTAATAACACATTTACATGTATGTGTACAGCAGCTCAATACAAAGCTATGATAATGTATGAAAATATTCAGTGGTCAACTGAGGAAGTTTGATTTATAAACACAACTGACTTAATAAATGAACAGGACAATTAAGTTTTTTTCAGTTGAAAAAAGTATAAAGTTTTCTTGTTTGTACATGTACGAGGGCCGTTCAAAAATTACGCGGACTTGGTGCACAGAAAAAAAATTGACGACATAATCGGGCAAAATGTCACACATAATATAAAAGAATCTTTACTTATATGGTCTTCAAAATTTCATATCAAAATGTTGTAAATTAGTATCGATTTTGAGTGATTTTTCAGGACATATCACTAAGTCACGGAGCAGCAAAATCTTCGACGTCACAGGCATTATAAAGATTATGTGGTTGAGCTTTCATTTTCTGAACATTTTTCCCAGAGTTCCCGTACAGTTTGAGTTACCTTATCTACTCAACATCCAAATCCCATTTCTTGTCAAGCTTGAAATCTATTTAACAAGTAAACATTATTCTTTTTTTTTTTGTTTTAAAACCAAAAACTGCAGGTATTTATGAGATATAGCGTGACATTGTCACTCTCAATCATTTTCTTTAAAGTCTGGATAAAGTTTTCGGACCCTGGCCTTTTTACAGAGGTCTAACGGTCTAAAATTTCAATAAGTTATTTGTGAACAAGTGTCACCAATACCCTAGTTTACTTCATGTTTTATTATGCATATTTTGGATCTATTTCGGCGATATCTAGAGCATTACACATAATTAAACAAAAGTGGTGCGCCGTCAGTTCAGGAGACGTCATTTTCACAGTCGTTTTTACGGGGATCGCATAAGAGAAAAATCACCATATTTCTGTTACTACTTCAAATATCATGTCAGAAATCTAAATACATAATAATAAAACAGTTTAAAGATATATTTGAGAAAATTGTCCCGCGAATTATAGAAAATTAATGAGTTAAATTTTGGATTCCGATGCTTTTGCTTCAATTTTATTTGTCATTTTCAAAGCGATATCAACATAGCGATAATTTAAAATAATTCTAAAATACAGAAATTTTGCCCAAAATTTATCGAAATCCTTAAAAAAAAATTTCATAACTATATGACGTCTATAAGAGTAAATAATAGTACAGTCCGCGTAATTTTTGAACGGCCCTCGTATGTGTGTTGTTTAACGTCCCTCTCGGGTTTTTTTTCACTCAATCATATGGAGACGCCTGCACCACTTGCCGATGGAGAGCTGCAAATGCTGTCATGTATTCCGCACTTACAGCCATTAAACAGTGAGGAATGTTTTGTTCATACCAGTACCTAATGCGATATATAAGCCGATAATGGGACCCTGGTTTATATTTTATAAAGCTAGGTCTCCACGTCTTTCATAAATTAAACCCGCGACGTTTATATTATAACCCCTTACTTCGCGATTATAAGCACTGTGCCACGCGAGCGATAATTTAAAGTAGAACATTCCGATAGTCCCGCAAAAGAGAAAGAATAGACCTGCTTACATTTTCAAAATAATAAGTCAAATTAAAATATTGGTCAGCATTTAAAAAAAAATCGCCAAAATAACTAGTATGAAATTTTATCATGGTTGTTTGAGTAAATGAAATTAAAGGGATGAATGGACTAGATATATAAGTACATATATTAATTAACTTAAATATTTTATAATGCTAGATTCGTCTTCTAAATTAAACAGTTTATATAGAATATAATTTTGCCTCCAAAATTAGCCTCTTAACTCTTAATATTCTTTTTATGATACATACGTGTACAAGTTTTTTCGTTCAAGTCCGATAATCTAGTCGAAATTGTCCTTATGGGCTGTCGTATTAATCTATGACCTAGTTAACAGATCAGCTCAAGCGACTGAAGGTCAGGTATGTGGATTGTTATAAACAGTCGTTTATTTTACTTTTAATAATACTTGGAACTCTGTGTGAGTTAACTGTGTCACTAAAGGGCTTCAGTAAATTAATATAACTTTTCATGTGACTGACCTTAAAACAACTGAAATTTATGTAGAACTAGACCAATTTTACCTTTTCTTTCCCCATTTCATCGTCACCTAAACATTGTAGGACTCATTTTAATTGGGAAATATACATATGTAAATATTAAATTTTACTTGCCTTCTGCGATCCATTCAAAGTTCTACACAGTAGCTCTAGACATGCTCAGACAAGGGATCGCCATTTAACTTTGTACGAGGAAGTAAATTTATTTGTAAATACTACGGTCAAAGGTAAATTCACATATATATGATAAGTTTCAGTTTAGTATCATAGCTTAATTGTTACTTCTTAATTTCAGATATATATAATGACGTGCAAGCTTATCATGTGTCTTGTAGAGTATCTTGATTAAAAACGTTTTTTTTAGCCAAACTTTACAATAAATAGACTGATAAAACCAATTTTACAATTATTGTGCTACCAAATCAGCGATTAATGACCTTTGGATCGTACCATCCATGCTTGTACTCTTGTGAATATCAATATTGATTTACTATTGTAGATATCAGCATGGCGTGCGCCTTTCCAGAAGAAGACTTGAACGAAGAATGCGACTGTTGTGGTAACCATCGTACATGCTTTTGTCTGAAATGTGTTGTTAGTTTGTGTGACAAATGCAAAGAAAAACATGTTGACCACGAAGAAAATCATGATATTTTGGAACTCCCGCCAATGGAACAGGATCTGCCAATGTGCGATGTACATGATGACATAACGTGCACTCTCTACTGCTGGACATGTCAGGAATCACTGTGCCAATACTGTGTGCAAGAAAAACATACAGGAGATGGTCACCATGTTCTAGATATAGAGTCCGCCGCACTTATAAAACGAAACCAGATTATAAAAGAACATGCTGAGGGCAAACATGTATTATCGCCACAAATTCAAAACCAAGTCCAAAACATCCAGGAGGGCGTTGAGATGTACAAAGCCTATATTCAAAGCATTAAGGATGCCATGATTGCTCAGGCAGAAAGAATGAAGGAAATGGTCAACGAAATTGTTGAAGAACGTCAAAGAGAACTGAAGGAAATGGAAAGAAATAGTGCAATGACATTAGAAGACCAAAGACAGAAATTGGAGGGACACATGGCAGAAATCAACGATACAATAAACGAGTACCGCGAGACTGAACAAACTGGAGATCCTGAGAAAATCAAGGAATTTGCCGATAAAAACAGGGACAAAATCAGACGATTGAAACAGCTCCCCGAGTTGGAAGAAGTGAAACCACCGACATACGAAACACCAAAAGTCGACATTGAATTTATCAGACAAATGTTCGGAAAATTAATGTTGAAACAGCACACTTGGTCTACATCCGAAAGCTTAGCCATTCCCAATCAGGAGGAACTGATTCAACTACCAGAGCTCGATAAAGAGGAAATCCGCAAGAGATTTGGCACACTGACTGTGACAAACACAGAACCAACAGAGGCACAGGAGGATTCCGTAAATGCAGAAAACTTAAATACAAACTCGGATGACAATCCCATTCCTACCATTCATGATCTGGAAGAAATGGCAGAATTAGAAAGTCGGACTGAAGAAGTAACAGATGATACAGTTACTGACGAAGGAACATTGAGAAATGAAGATCAGAACCCTTCAGATCAAGACAATGATGAATGACTTTATATAGGCTTTACTGGAAAAAAAAACCCAAACACATAAAACACCAAACTGATAAAATAAGAAAAACTGAGGATTCCAATTTATTTTATTGAAATAAATTGATCAAGTTCATCTTTAATGCCAAAAATTTACAATGCATGTGGTTTATCACAATTTAAAATTAAAACCATGAAAAGATTCAGTTATTACGTTTTTTTTTCCTTTCTTTCTACAGATACAATCATAGAAAAAGGGGCCCGCCCCTCTTTCCAGAAATAGATTTTTATTTAAAAATTACATTATACTTATTGTTTTGTATACTTATTTCTGAGCCACCCAACTTTCTGGATTAAACACTGATATGTACAATTTGCCTTAATGCATTTCACATCTATAAAGAGTTTCAATTAGGACATATAAAATATACTAGCTCAAAACAGATAGTTTATATTGCAAAAAAATTAAGTATTACCTAAGCAGATGTAAAATAATATTGAATTTCAAATCGGTAATTTATATGAACTCACAACATAAAGGTTTCACGGGTATGATCATGACTCTCACTAAGAGAAAAAATCATTAAAACAAAACAAACTTTCAACAATAGATCAATTAATAATACCATCATTTAAATTAAAAAAAATGATTCATACATTCTCATCTCCCCTGGATGGATGAAGTTAATTATTTTTAATTAATATTACATGTATGTAACATTACAACATTTAATAATCAAACGGTAACAACTGATAAAACAGTCTGTCGAGGTTTCATTTCCTTGGGTCCCATCTACTCCGATATGGAATTTTAGGTCATCTGTTATCAGGACTGGAAATCTCCTGGTCCTGAGGTTAGCTGGGTCCCTTCTACTCAAATCTGGAATTTTAGCTCAGCTGCTGTCAGGACTGGGAACCTCCTGGCCCTGAGCTTGCCTGGTCCTCTTGATTGCTGTCTTGTCTCTGGAAAATGTACATGGCAGCCTCCTGCAGTCTGCTCAGGACCAGGCTTCCCATTCCTGACACAGGTGAACTAGGACCAGTGGAAGAGTTGCTGGAGGACTGGTTTCCTGTGAGAGAAAAAATACCTCAAAGTGAACATCAAATCTTAAGAAACAAACAAGGGATAGTTCTAAAAATGCCACAAATCAGGTCTGAAAATAGAAAAAATGGAGCATATAAATTTTACAAATGCAGTTATACTTCAGTACCATAAGCATCAATTTCTCAAAAACCATGGCTATGTCAAATTAAATTGAAAGTTACTACCACTTAAGTATTCTTGAAATCTCGAGTCCACTATTTTATTGCTCTTTTATCAAATAAAAGCACAGTTTTGAGCCTTTTAAATCATAAACTTGTCAATATGACTGCATAAGTTATCAATGTATAAAGAGGATAGTAAAGATCAGTTCTTATTATTTTTCCTGTTAATTAGAGATGGTAAGTATATCAGAAAACCAAAGGGTTCAAATCCTCATTGTACATTTTCATTTGCAATTTAGCCAAGATATCATTCTACAGATATACAGATATAAACAATTTGCTTCATTTTTTTCTCCAGGTTAAAAATTTGCAGGCAACAATTACTAGTATATGGAAAGAAGAACACAATCATTAGATACTGGCACACCTCTAAACACATCGTGTAGTGCATGATACATGTACATATACATATAATACAATGTTTGCAAGAGTGTCAAGACTTTTAAAGTCTTCTGTGAAATCATTAAAACTGTGGAAGCCTATGGTCATGGATCATTTAAATTCTACAAGTTATAGGAGAAATAATTTCGTGTGTTCCCTTATACCTACAGAAGGAATACGACTTAGTGACCTTGATTTATCAAAAAATTAATTCAAAAAATTCAATGCCACCACTACCATTTATAATTCCACATAATTTTTCTCTTAAGGTAGGATTCTTCTCATATTTCTAATATTTAAAAATCAATGGAATTTTCACAGAATCAAGAAGACAATACCAGTAAGTGATAGTATCAGTGAAATTAAATTTGACCGTTTTATATTAGAGGCAAGGTCAGGTCAAGGTCATTATCTTTTTCCTTGACATTAAAATAACTGTTGCCATTATATGATATTTCTATTTCAAAAGTTTAATGATTGTTCTTTTTGCATAAAACACATATTACTATATTGGGTCTGTAGCAAGATATTACCAAATTTACATAAATAATGTAACTTAACTGGATATTAGAATCCGACTTGTTTTTCTTAGATTTTTTAAGGATATATTAATTTTCATATGCTTTATATTTAACTTTTTCTTATTTTCACATATAAAACGTCTTATAAATGTACAAAATGATACAAAAACAAAAAGTTTTGATGTTTAAAAGAGAGAAAAAATACTTTTTGGATTTTTGGCAACTTTTGATAGGAAAAATAGAAAATTCTAGTTTGTTTGAAAAATCATATTTATTTGATATATTTTGTTTAGTCCCTCATTATTAAAACTTACATCTGAAAATTTCTCCAAGACTTTGATTGTGTAAAAATTATAACTAAATTCATTGTTCTATGATAATTTTGAGAGGCAATTTTTTCATATGCCACCATTAGTGACCTTGATTTATCAAAAGTTTACAATTGAGATGAGGAAAGAAAAATATGGTCTTTTAAATTCCTTACAAAAATATATAAGACATATAACCAAATATACTTTGAATGTTTCATCTAGTCAGAAACCAGAGAAGAATCCTACCTTAATAGAACAGACAACACAATGTCAACTGGCTACAATGCTTTTGATACTTGGTTCAAATTTCTGCTGGAAAAACTATTTTTTAGCATTTGTAAAATATTGTTCACATATATTAAATGCAAGTCTTTTTTTTAAGATCAATTTCATCAATTAATATAAATAGATTATTACTTCCCTTTTTGTGAAACTTTTAGTATGCAATGTGAAATTGTACCTTTCTGTGCTCTTGTGACGGGTATGTGAGGTGAGGCCAATGGTGTATAACTGTATGGGGGTGAAGAAATGGGTGTCACAAACTTGCATGTAGTCGCCCTCTTCAAGAAATCATCTAGCTCCTTCATCGTTAGTTTGTTGTGTAAGGTTTCTAGGGGATGCAGACTTGGCACCATATTAAATCCTTCAAATGCTGCAATGGTTAAAAAAAGTCTTTAAAACATTTAAAAATATGTAATCAGTATTTGTCCAACCAAACGTTTATATATTAAAGAGAAACCATGTACAATTGTAATAAATCTGTTGAATTGCTTTTTCAAACAAATTGTACTTTATATGTGTACTGGTAAAAAAAAAAGCTTCCCTTGTGTCTAGCTCATCTAAACGCATTCCAACAATTTCCCCAACATATACACATTTATCAAAGCCCTCCATGGAATATTTCTCTGCGATAATGCAAGATTCTAAAGACATCAACAAGTTTTTGAAATATATTTTGAATTCTTAAATCTTTTGTAGATATAAGCTGTTGGTATTCTTTGGGGCTTTAAAAGGCAAAAGGAATTCATCCAATTCAAACTCGCATGTCTGAAATGTTTAATGATAATAAGAAACTATAGCTTTAGCAGTAACAATATTAGTTGTGGTGTCAACAATCACAACTGCAGTTTTGAACAAGTTAATGCATAAAGGTGGGAGAGATGAAAAAATAAACCACAGCAGAAAGATAAACCTTGCAAAAGTTCCTCGTCAGGTTCTGAAAAAGCAGGTTGTTAGCCATATGTAATATATCTGTCCTAAATATCTGAACAAAGTGTGTGCAAAAATATTGAGAGTTTTAAACTAATTTCATCAACAACAGACTACTAATTCAATCACTTATGATTCTTCTATCATTCATGAATTTATTACCAAATTTCAGATTTAGGTTTTAAATTTTCAGAAAATACTATCATTGCTATTTCTCTACCACAAAGAGATCAAAGTTTTGTCATTTTGACACAGATACCATACCCAAAAGACATCATAGAGAACTATATATTATACAACTCCTGCATACAGGCTTTTATAAGGACATTAGAAGACAGTCTACATTGATTTAAAGATGCCCTCTCCTAGCCATATGGTGAAAGTAGGGACAGTTAGTGCTAACTTATAAAAACTGCATTAAAATGAAACACTATACATACCAGTCTGTCCTGTTAAAACACAAAGACATGCATTGGTAAAAGAAACCAATTTATATAAAACAAATCAATTCATTTCAGCTGGGAATAAAACAAGTACCTTTTGAAAAATAAAAACTCAATAATGCAAATAAAGTTTAAAGCATTGTTTTATGGTAATTTCCAATACATACAAAGTAAATTCTGAATGAAGTTTTAATCCTAATCTTTGTTTACTTAATACTATGCAATTTACAGCTAAGATGACATGCAACAAGTCAACATGCAACAGAGGGTAAATTCTCCAAAACATTTTTTTATCTTTAACGATTGAAGTGCAAAAAGGGTGTTTTATCTCCAAAAGAATAAGGTTATGATATTACGCACTGAAACTTTATAAAAAAAAAAAAAAAAAAAAAAAATGATAATCAGCATAATCAACTTTCCAAGAGGTTAATGAAATTTCCTCATTTTTAATAATTGTCCATCAAATCAAATGATAGTATTTGCTTAAATACATCAATTTCAAATTTGTCCTGCTGGCATTACATAAAACTTTTATTTAACTCATTATGGCAGACAACAAATTTGGAATTGTAAAAAGCTTGAAAAATTCATTAAGCACATGGAAATTTAGAATCTGGAACACATCTGAAAAATTCATTAAGCACATGGAAATTTAGAATCATAGTGAACACATCTTTAAAACTCTTCAAATCTTTTTTCAAACAACTTTTAATTGTTTAATGAAAGCAAATTTGCCATTTAAAGCAAATAGTCATTAAAAAAAAAAAAAAGTATTAAAGAAATGAAACTAATAAGAATCATAGTGACTAAATATTAAGTTATGTCATGCCTATGCATGTAAATCTGCAGATCTAGTTATATATTGCCAAACTCTTCAAAATCCCAATTCCCATTTTTTTTAAGCAAACTTTGCAACTTTTAATTACTTTACTTGTGGCTAAGCCTTGATTAACACATAACATCACTCCTTCACAACAAATCTTCTTGTCAGTTAATCTTTGACACTTAAAAATGGACGTTTGTTGTGAAAAGAGGGTGGCGGATGGCGGTAGCTTGCAAAGCAAATTTGCCAAAT